GTTATCAGTCGGGAAAGAGGGAGGTGCTACTCGACCAAAAAAATAGAATAGAATAGATTGACTAAACTAAATTACTTTACTAAACTACTCGACTAAATCGATCTGTTCATACATAATTAGTTACTAAAATACTCGCTACTTGACTAAATTACTGACATAGTCTGAACTAGCCTATAGATACAAACGGACACTGATAGAAATAAAATCGCTTTCAAGTGTTTTAAATATAAAATATAAAACAAATGTGTACATAAACTAAAAATGAAAAATATATAAATGTGATATTGAACACAAGAAAAAAACTTACAATATTAATTTTTTCATGCATCACCTATTAGGTGTGTGATAAACAACTAAACAGTCGCTATAGCGATTCAAGTAGATTTATATATAAATCTACTTCAACATCAGCTATTGCTCATTGTATGATTACAAGACCAAATTCCGTTCGTCGAGCAAGAGATTTTTTTCATTTCTTTAATGCGAGGAGCAACGTACGGAGAGCAGACTTTGAGCGGAAAAAAATATAAAAAATATAAATGGTATTTACATCTTGTACAGGTACTATTTTTAGGCCGTAAACAAAACGAGCCAAAAATGTTATAACATTTTTTATAATTTTGGCATCTAATTCCATTGTTTTTGGTGTTTATATCGTTCTAAATTTAATATTAATCTTTTTATCATCAATTACCAAGGAAAAATTAATGTTCTCTGAAATGAACAGAATACTATAGCACCAAACCGAATGATTGCGTCCCGCAGTAGATAAAACCAGTTGCGTGGCGAACATGAGTCCAAAATGAGCAATTGCCCGTGCCCAATATTAAAGGGGTGATGGGTACCCCTCGGGTCGGCGCTAGGGTAGGGCAAGAGGGAAATTTTCCCATTGAGAATATTATCCAGCCCTCTGTATTAATAATACAAAAAACGTAAACTAAGAATATCAATAAATTATATTTTTCTATTGGTATTGAAATTAAATTTTAACGTGTTACGTATTATGTGTTTCTGCAAAGTAAAAATCATTTTATTAACCATGATAGTGCATTAAACTTTGTAAATTATTATAAGTTGTTGACAACTATTTATGTTTTCTCCGTAATATTATACTTTTAAAAATAGCTTACATGATTTCTTTTCAAATTGATCTTTTCGATCGAACAATAAATAATGAAAAATATTTTGCTTTCAGAAATTGGCAATTTTTTTTAAATATAATACTAAAATGTTTTCTTATCTATTTTTTAAAATGCCCTTTAATGCGCACCGGTCCAATTTTTAATCCTCCAAACTATTGACATTGTGCTCTTTAATATATACAATTTTACAATTAAGAATTTGTTTGTGATATTTTCAAATATTTTTACCACAATTATATAGACTACTGATTGGCTAAAAAATTTTACTGTGGAGCATAGGCAGATAAAGTACCTCGAATTATAATTATTATTATCATTCGGATTATATTCGTTTCGATAATACTTATTGTTGCAGTTATTATTTCTTTTAAAATTCGTAAAGGCATTTTAATTGATTTTTTTATTATTATTTTTTGCCATTACTAGCGCTATAATTTGCGAGACTCTGTGCAAATTATAAACACGAGACCCCAGATCTGAATGTACTACAAAATATAAGTGCGAGGCCCTGTGCGGTCGCATTGTCTATACATCCCTCGCGCCGGCACTGATCATTACCATACTTTCCATATTTTTTATACGTAAATATTAGAATTGTAATTTTGATTATTTGTATTACTGTTTTTTTTTTCATCATTGTTATTATTATTAAATCTGTGATTACGATAATGTACATATTTTTTAGGTTCGAATTGTGTATGATTAACTTGTGAACTATTTCTAATAGAATCGGACAGTAGCGTAACTGGGAAAAACTTAGGGGGGGGGCAATATAATATATTTATTATTACCAAAACCCTGATATCCTTCCCCTCACCAGTTAAAACATATTTTTATTGTATGTATTTTATACACTATATCTAGTTGTTTGATTTTACATAAGTCTTTTAACTCATTTTATGGTTTAGATAAACATAAATTGTAGGTAGCATGTACTAGGTACCAATATTGTTAAATAATATCCATAAGAGTTCATTAATAAAAGGTGCTATTTTTACTGTTGGATTATCTGGGGGGAGGGGCAAAATTAAAACTTTATCTCTCAAAAAATTGTCAGAGGGGGCACTTGCCCCCCTTGCCCCCCCACAATTACGGCACTGAAATCGGAAATAAATTTAATTTATTAAAAAATTTATTTCCATTCCAAGGTAAATATGGAAATCCTTTTCAAGTTTTTGTTTTAAAAGAACACACGCTTCTTGTAATTTTCCCATGTTCGAAGATATCGTATCATAACAAATACGTTGAACATTTTCTTTAAGATTTCACTCTACTAATGTATTATAAAATGCTAAATCTTGATGTTTGCGCTGCAAACAGCATTTGTGTAATTCGTGTTATCATTTTCGTGTGATGCGTAGCGGTGCGTTGCGTATCTGCAGCCATCGTCGGCGGCGGTAATAAGCCTCCGTGTGCGACCGGCCGGGTACGTAATCGCATTGTTATCATCACGAGTAAATATTAGTTATTGCACGTTTTCAAATTTTTGTCGGTAATGTGTTTTCAGTAAAAGTTAAAGTCATCCTCTCAGCTGTGGCGTAACTAGACCCCCGTAGGGCCCGCAATGCGGGGGGGGGGCCCTGATTTGAGAGATATGAGGGGACGCCAAAAATGTTAAATTTTTTATATGTATTTTAATAAATTATTTGATTATATGGCTTATGCCTATTAAAATCAGAATTCGTATGTTAATTCTAGGTTTATTTTTATATGTTGAGTATTCTCAGATTGTAATAGTTGATAAGGAATAATTGAATCATCTATGAAAGACTGGTTTACTTATACAATAAGAAAAACGATAATGTCATAATTTAGTCTGGTTAACCCAAATATGTACAAAATATAATAGGTATTTAATGAACAACTTTATTATACCTACATCGGCTACATTCGTCACTCAATTATGAACAATTTAAATTCCACATTCATAGAATATACAACTATAGACCATTGACAAATATATTTAATAGTATTTATTCATGATGAATAAAAAAAAAACTTAGTGGTGCTCAGAATAGAAAGAGAAGATTAGAAGAAGTAGAAAAACAAAAAAAATGTGCTAAAATTGATACCTTCTTTTTAAATTCGAGTGATAAGTTTCATTTACATGTATAAATTATACATTTAAAAATTATAAACATAGGTATCTATATGACGTATATATCAATACATTATATTTTATATAGGTATGCATGCAGGTATATACCTATAACTGTATTAATGAATAATGAATATGGTAACTGATTTAATGTAAATACCGTTGTAGATCTTTAATAATGTACCTACGTACTATTATTTTTTTCCGGAGAAATTTTAGTAAATTATTATATATTGTAATTATAAACCTTTTTTAATCTAAATTAATATTGAGTATGAGTATATAATATGAGTATGTCGATTATGACCAAGATGTTGATTTTAGAAATTGAAACCGTTCGTTAATACAAACTAAATCTTTGAAACTATAAAGACTAAATTTTTATTTATTTACCTATTTATTTTTTACATACTTTATGCTATATTTAAAAATATTTATAATTATTTCATAACATTTTTCTTTTACATTATATTTTTAAATTAAAACCTAAAATAAAATACGATATATTATAACTAAAATGAAAGCAATACACTATGAATTGGTATATTTTCTTTGTGAATATAATTTTTATACCTTTTATTGTAATAAATTATTTTATTAAATATTTTTATAAAATCATAGTTATTTATAATAAATTTGTAAATCAATTATTTCATACATTTTTTATAAAATTATTGAACTATTTTTATTTTACAGTACCTTTAGACAAATGTTCTAATGAGTGTAATACTAATATAGTTAATACACAATATCTGACCATTACGAAACAAATAAAAAAGTCATTAAGTACAGATAAATCTTCCACGTGTGGTAGGTTTTTTTTATAAATATATAGATACATAAATATATTAATAAGTATTAAAACTTAGGTTTTTTTATTTTTTATTCATAATGTAGATCTACAAAATGAAATGCAAAATTTTATCGAATTTTATCAATCCGATATTCCGAGTAAACAAAATAAACTGAATACCGAAATAATTAAAATCGAAAAGAACACAATTCCTCAAACAAATAAAGCAGAAAGTATATTTAACGAACTTCTTAAATCCATTAATGCCGAAGATGAATATATAGTATTTCTTAAAGGAGTATTAAATAAAACTAATCCAACTGATTTAGCTCACTATTTAACAATTGATGTGACAAAAATTTCTTACATAAAACATTTTATTTTAAAATATGGTTCTTGTCGTCCTCAAACAAATTTCCTCTTGGATGAAAAATCACGCTCTTTTTCATCATCGTATTACTTCATTGATAAACTTAAAACTCATGAACGATTCCAGTTGTGCTATTTTCCAATATTAGACCGTAGTTATTGCGAACCATGTTGACTCCATGCAAATAGAAATTCATCTCATTTTAATAAAGCATAGATAAATGGAATATTTGACTGGCAAAGTCTTTCTAAAAAAATAAAAAAACATGAAGTTGCTGGTTTTCATTTAGAATCTTGTAAAGTATACCATATGTAGAAAAGAGGTAAAATAATAGATTTGTATATGTAATCTTCAATTTAAAAGAAGCTAACATATGGTGACAAATTCTTCATTGAAATGTTATACTAACGTTAGCAAAGTGAAATTTTCCGTTTAGAGGTCATAAGGAATGTATTCAAAATAATGAAGCAGAAAATGGAAATTTTTTTTCAATCGTAAATTTGATTTCAAATTATGACCCTGTATTAGATAATTTGTTGAAAAAGCCAAAAAATACTGTAAAACATCTAAGTCGCATCTATACAAAATGAACTAATCATGCTTTTATCTAAACATGCCAAAACGAAAATATTTGAAGACATTAATGAAGCTCCATTTTTCTCTATCATTATTGACACTATCCGAGACATTTCTAAAATTGATCAAATGAGTATTGTTTTTCGTTATGTGAAAATTATTAAGAGTTCAGAAAATATACCTGTTGACATAAAAATATTTGAAACGTTTACTGGATTTTATGAAACACATGATCATACTGCATCTGGATTGAAGCAGTTAATAATTAAAGAGCTAGAAGAAAAATCTATTTCCATTTCAAAATGCGTTGGGCAAGGGTATGAAAGAGCAAATGTTATGAGTGGTAATTATAATGGACTTCAAGCAAAGTTAAAAAACAGGGGAAAAAATGCAGATTATATTCATTGTGCTAGTCATAATTTGAACTTTGTTTTGAATGATGCAGTTAATGGAATTTCTGAGTCAGTAAATTTTTTTGAAGTTGTTGAATACCTTTAGTAGTAGTATTAGGGGGCTTTTGAGTCCATTTTTCAAGATTTTTTTTTTTTTAGTTTTAAAGTATATCAAGGAGGTTTCTGGGTTCATTTTTTCAATTTTAAAATAAAACAATTTATTCTGTAAAAAATTTTCTATATTTATTTTTTCAAATATAAAAAATACAAATATATTTTATAATAAACACGTAAAGTACATAAAAAAAATTCTATACAAATTTTCTTATCTCTCTAGTTAATGGTACATATTCAATAATACGATCATGAATTAAAATACAATAAGCAGTCACACCAGTAAGGTTTTCTGAAGCATCGATTTCGATACTAACATCAACAGTAGTAACTGTACTTTCATCATTTTGCTTTGATGCGTCTACAACAACAATTGATGCAGTTGATTTAAATGCTGAAGGACTTAATATTCGATTTCGTTCTCCTTTTTCATAATATGATTCTTGAAACGATGTATACTTATTGTATAGTACAGTGAAATTTGTAATGATGTGCATCATTCAACTGTAAAAGACGGTACAAATATTTTATTATGTATACATATGTACGTTATTTTTAAACCTTTTCAAATAAATAACGGTATCTTCGATACCCGAACTAACGACACGGGTCGAACAATAGATACTATTGACATCCCTACATTAAAAGGACAGGCCCAAGGTCCATGCCACCGCATGTACCTATATAACAGGGACACACACGACTCTCACCAGAGAGCTCTTGATCTTAGGTCGTCAGTGCATGCGCACCGATCATAAGATCAATGACGAGCTTATACATGCGATTTGTTTTGACTCATTTAAGTTTAATTTAAATAAAAAAATATTGAATTATTTTAATCTGTTCGACTTGCGTTCTTCGTACGAGTGTTGAAGAGTATCCAGTTCTAGTGCTATTAAATTCTGCATTTGTCCTTTCTTTTTCAACCTCGCGTCAATATCAGAAGTTCTACGGCAAACAAGTAAGTGCTGTTTTATTTAGCTTGGCAGACTGTACAATTGCGCTGATCGGTTCTCGAACCTTCTCAACCCTGAGAGCCCTCCCTTAAACAAGGAGGAAGGTAACAACCCATATATACCACATCCTCCATACTTCCTACCCATCTCCTTATATTATTTTATATTTTGTATTTTTGGGTTATTACAAATTATTTTTTTCAAGGTCTAAGTTTAAATTATCGTAAGGGTATAGAACTGAATTTAGAATTACTTTAATGTTTTTCAAGTTACAATGATCAAATTGACTGCAATCTTTTTCAATAACTCTTTTTCGATTTTTCTGTAAATCTATTATAATATATCGTGGTTTTTCTAATTTTGATGCAGTTTTCAAATTCCAAACCACATTTTTTGTAGTTCCTAATTCAGGGTATTCATAAGTTTCATATGATCTAAAAGGTATGAATAAACTTTTCTCTTTTTCTACAATTTTCAACAACTTTAATCGTTCTGCGTTGTCTACACTAACATGCGGAATTTTCCAAATAACTTTATTAAGCGTTATTGAACCTGAAGTCGTTGATTTAAGTGTTTTTACAGTTAAAAATTTAAATCATTATTTATTCTGGTTAAAATTAATTCAAATCTTGAATTAGTTAAAATGTTTTTAAATAGTAGTATAAATAGTAGTATTACTACTATTTATTATATTAGATTATTCTAAATCCTTACATAAAATACATAACGAATTCCCATTTTTACCTCATAATACTTATCCACCAAATTCTAAAGTGAAAAAACTTCTCACAACATTAACTCCGAAAAAAAATTATGTGATTCATTATAGAAATTTGAAACAAGCTATTGCTAATGGTATAAATGTAACAAAAGTTCATAGAATAATCCGCTTTAAGCAGTCTAATTGGATGGTATCATATGTTGAACTTTGTACTAATATGATAGCTAAATCTGAAAATGAATTTGAAAGACAGTTTTGGAAACTATTAGTTAATAGCGTTTTTGGATAATGTATGGAAAATTTAAGGAAACGAATGTCGATTAAATTAGTTAGTAGTAAAGAGAAAGCACATAAATTAATGAGGAAACCTTTTTTTTAAAGACAGAACGATATATTCAAAAGATTTAATGGCAGTTCACATGCATAAAGAAACAATTAAATTCGATAAATCGATTTATGTAGGGTTTGCTATATTAGATATTTCTAAAACAATTATTTATAATTTTCATTATAACGTAATGAAAAAAAAAATATGAAAATAAATTAAATATTATTTATACTGATACTGATTCTCTTGTTTATGAAATAAAAACAGAAATTTTTTTTAAAGACATTAAAAACGATTTATTTTCATATTTCGATACATCAAATTTTCCTAAAAACCATTATTGTTACAGCGAAGATCGAAAAAATCAGCCCGGGTTCTTCAAAGATGAGTTAAAAGGCCGTATTATATTAGAATTTATTACATTACAACCAAAGCTCTATGCGTTTAGTGTAGGTGATCAAGTAATTAAAAAAGCTAAAGGTACTAAAAAATACGTAATTGATAAACATTTAAAAATTGATGAATATATTGAAGTATTAAATGCACACATTCAACATAAATCGGTTGATAAAATAATCGCATATCGTGATATGAATTATATTCAATCAAATAAACATATAGTTTTTTCAAAAACCACTAATAAATTAGTTTTAAATGCAGATGACGATAAGAGACATAATGAATGACGGTATTAACATTATGGCTTACGGTCATTATAAATTAAAAGCTAAATATTAAAATACGTTTTTTTTTTTTTGCCCCATAGACCCGTTGCCGTGGTTCGTCCTTGAATGAACAAGCCAATTCATGTAAAATGTTCCAATATACGTTTAATGGATGTAAACGAATTATACGATTTACGAAAAATTATTGTTCATGCTTTAGATGCGCAAAGATATCATGGCGAATCTATTGCAAGTGAACAATAATGTCGTAGGTTCGCGGTTTATATCATGTCGACACTACGCTAATTCGTCATCGCCTTCGTCGTAGATTGTCGTGGTGTTGACTTTTTTTCTTAATTTTTTTTGATTTTTTTTTTAGTTTTGTTTAAAGCTGCAAAGCTGTACTTACCTAATATATATATATGTTATTAATTAAATAATAGACTGTTTTATAATTTTATAATATTTGTTTTTAAACTGTAAATTATATTATATACCTATTTATAATGTATTATTATTTTATACACGTTAAAATTATATATACTATTAAATAAACAATATAATGTTTTGTGATTTTGCTTTATGTAACATACTAAACAAATTATTATAGTTGTAAATATTAAAATATATAGTATAAACAAATAAATATTGAAATTATTTCATAGACTGTATTTAAATTATCATAATTTATTTAACAATATCATTAATATTTATCCATGAATTACAGTTATTACTATAACCTAACCACTTAACATACATTTTATTATTTTTTTTTTTTTAAATACGTTCAATAAGAAAAGTATTAGGAAATTTTGTTTTTCTAATTTCTTCTTTAAATAAACAACTGATTATTATATTATTAAAACTATCCTTTAGCTGATAAGTTATTGGATTTGTATTTAAAATTTTAACAATAGTGAATATTTCAGTAGTCCAATTTGGTGTATATCCTTTACTAAAATGATGTTTATACTTTGATATTCGTACTTTGTAATTTATTTTTAACTTTGAATCTGGTTTTTTATATGTTTTTTGAATAATAGTTTTATATTGTATATTATTTGAATTTAATCTAGCTTCAAGCGGAGTACAATTAATTGTTCTATGTTTTGTATTATTATAACTTTCAATTAATTTACCTAAAGAATTAGGTATACCAGTTCCATAATCCTGTTGCAGTAAAATGTGTATACATTTTATTTTTTATTGTTCGAATAACTCGTTATACTATTCCAGCTTTTATACTACTATAAGTTGAATAATGTTTAATATTATATTTTTTCATTAAATCTTTAAATTAATTATTGTAAAATTCTGTGCCGTTATCTGTTTGTAATAACTTTGGCTTATTTTTTTTTAAAATATTAGACATACCTCTTGTAAGTTCTTTAGCAGATTTATTTTTTAAGGGAAATGTCCATATATATTTAGTAAATATATCTATAGTTATTAAAATGAATTTAAAACCTTTATTTTTTTTAGAATGTAATTGCATATCTATAACACTGCAAGAATGAATGTTCACCCGAAGTTGCCGCATGACTTTTCACAATTACATTTAACACTTCCTAATGTAATTAATAAAATACGAACCAAAAATAATGAAAATTGGATTTTTATAAACGATGTTTAGAACAATATAATATGTCTTACGAATCATATAAATCTTAATTTTTTAAAACAATGTGATTCAATTTTTATGGACGGTACTTCTTCAAGTTGCTATTTTCCTTTTAAACAATTTTTTGTGATACATGGATGTAAAAACAAAAGCAGCTCATACGTACCTTTGTTTTTTTTTCGTTATTGCTTAGTAAATTGTCTAGTAATGCGTATAAGACTGTATTAGACCACCTCAGAGGTTGTTTGTTTGACTATATCCCAAATAGAGTCTTCAGTGATTTCGAACCTACACAATAAAAATAGTGTAGACAGTTCTAAGTTTGTTTAAAAAATGGAAAGAAAAATGTTGAAGCTTTTTTGTAAATAAAATAGCATGGTATATACCATACATACTAGATATATATTTTGAGTGATCGCAACTAGTATGTAATTTTTGATTTTGATCGCAACTAGTATACACCGTTATTATTTGTGTGCCGTGTTGGGCCACACATTTTGATTGATTTATTCACATATTTATTTATTATTATTAGAGCGCGGATTTGTATGCACTTAAAAGTATCGAAATATGCCATATAATATGCAGTAAAAATCATACAATTATGCAAAAAATATGCAAGAATTTTTTATTTATTTAAAATTTATAATTCAACTTATAAAAAAATTAATTACTTAAATACTTAATACAAAAAAATGTAGAGAATTTTCTGAACTTAATTTATTTTTAAAATTTTATTTATTATTAAAATTATATGCATTTCAAGTTAATCTTCTGTGAAGCTGTGTCGTTTATCGGTTAACATATTTTTAAAGACTGAAAACGAACTCTCGATGTCAACCGAAGTTATTGGGGCATATATGAAGCAAGTGGTATGTCAATAATCGACTGACACAGCAAGAGCGATTAAGTTTACGTCGTAGGTAATCGATTATTTATTTTATAACTAAATATATATATAAATTATTATTTAGTGACTATGAAATTTATTTTTAATTTTTTTACTTGACAAAATATTATTTTATACATTTTTTTTAAATTTTCACTTCAATATGGAATAAATTTTGAATTTTGCCAAAATATGCAAAAATATGCAATAACCTCTAAATATGCAGAAATATTCAAAAAAAAAATTCACTATTAGCTTCAAATTATGATGATTCGTGGAAATAACTGATAAAAATCCAAAAATATTGAAAGGAAAAAAATATGCGATTGCATAGAAATCCGCGCTCTAATTATTATGCTAGTTGCGCCAATGTAGGGCCAGCGTTATTATTATTTTTGTTTTTTTTGTTCATATTGTCTGTTGTCACAAATTATTATATATTACAATTTATACTCTGTTAAGTCAATCGGGCCATTTATTTATTTTATTATACAGTCCACCACCAATTTATATTTATGTATTTGTATTATTTTTTTTACTAGTCATTGTTTTTATTATTGAGGTTAACAAGACAGCCCTCTAATATTGTTGTGCACTTGCCGCACTCACACTTGGTATTTACCTATTAATGATTTTATGAAAGTGACACATAATAACTGTTCATTTTCACTGAAACTGATTACTATCGGAAATTTATCGACATTTTCTTTCCTAGATAGGAATGATAATAATTTCCATTAAAATGGACCACAACTGTACCAACGTCTTTTTTTTTTTTTGGAAATGCTCACGTGGTTATTTTGCGTGTTCTATTCTTAAATATTTACAACAACGATAAGTTGATGAACGATTTATTTTTACAAAAAATAAGTGTTAAAATTGTTTCCTGTTTATTGTCTTCATTATATTTCTCTCTTGCCTCATATTGTTTAACAGTAATTATTAAAATTTCCTTGTAAAGAGTATATTAAATGGACATGTACTACTCACAAGTAGTGTTCATATATGTTATCTTCATTACATAATTATTTACATGTATTTTAAGATAAAAATAGTAAATAGCAAACATGAATAAAAATAAAAATAAAAAGATAAATACATTTATTATTAATAATATCAAATCACAGTCTTAATATCTATACAACTAGTGTCTTAAAACAATATAAATATGCTAACAATTTTATTATATTTATATTCAATAAAATGATTGAAATGCTTATCAAATAATTTTTTTCAATTTCTTCACAACATTAGGAGATACTAAAAAATTCAAAGTATCTTTTTTTGACAGTTAATCCAATCATCCAATAATTCACAAAGTATTTCAATATAATTTATGAATTAGAATTTAATAGGTAAAAAAATTTTTTACATTTTTTGCAGAAAAATATATATCTAAGTAGGTATATGTACTTATTTTTAAAAAGAATAACACTTTTAATATAAGATACTTAAAACGTTGAGCTTAATACCAATAACTAGTTTTTGTTAGATATTAGTGTACGAGAAATACATTTCATTTTAATTATAATATAGTAGAGTCTCGCTGATCCTAACTCTATTCGGATTAAATGGAATAATTTTTTTTTTTTAGCTAACTAATAAATATGTTTCACAATATGTAATTGGAACATTCTAGGACAACTTCTAGGATAATTCCAATTTCGTAGAGGTACATACAACTATACTATATATATGCACATACAAAATGAATCCTAGAATATATTTATTAATTAAGTATCAGTAATATCTTAAAGTAGATGACAATCGATATTGATATGAATCATTTTTATATAATATTTATGTGTAAGTATACATACATAAGTACTAAAATATAAATATATAATGTCTAGATACCCGAACTAGCAATGGATCAGCAAAATTCTACTGTTTATCTTATGTAAATTAAAGTAAATTAATATTTAATATATTTTGGTGTCGTTTGACTTAAATAATTAAATTTTATAAGTAATAACATTATTTACAAATGTTAAAAAACTGGTATAGTTGTTGAAGGTTTATTGGTAACATCATCGTCTAATGATAACAAAACCATAAATGATAAAAACAAGCTAATAGCTGACAAAAAATGCCAAATATCGTGATTATCATAAAAATCCATAAAAGTACACGGAGTGTTAAATGTTCTTGATTCAGCTGCGCTTAACTAAATATATGATTAATAATTAAATATAAAAATTAAAAGATAAATAATACAATATACTTACGGTCCATGAACTTGATTTATGTATATAAAAATACATCGAAGCAGACCAAAATATCATAGCTAATAAAATATACAATAATGGCCAAAAAAGTATTTTTTCCTTTGATATCAACTTCATAACAATGTAAAATGAAAGATACAAAATCAAATTGACCATAAATAGAGTTAAAAGATAATTTCCAAAATTACCAAATCTTATGAACCAATGACTTACGGCCAATCCCAAATTTATTAAATTACCTATTGTAATACATTTCTTAATATTAATTAACTATCATAAAAAATATATAATTTATAATTACCAATACTCAACAAAACCATACGGTTAGGATACTTTGGTACGCATGGATTTGGTGCAGTCATTAAGTGGTTAAGAATACGTTTTGGTGTTTTTTTATCTAGTAAGAAAAATAAATAAATAAAAAAAATCCAAATTTATGACTTTATATACTAAATTAAATTTGAAACATACCTAATTTCCAACGACCCATATAATATATCTGTGCTGATAGCCAAAAACTCATTGTTAAATGAAAACAAGTGAATAAAATAAATAGTAATGGACCTTCATACATTATACCAACTAAGCCAAGTATAATGACAAATGCCAGAACTCCAAATACTAAATATGCATTAGCATTAATGTCAGGATGTCTGGTTTGATATATTTTAATCATACTTAACATACATATTATGTACATGAAACTTGTATCTAAAATTTTAATTAGAATAAATTATATTAAAATAAAATTCATCTGTATTTTTAACTATTCAAAGTTATTACCAAATTGGAAATTTGAATGATTAGGACACACATGATAACAAGCACTCATTAATCCTTCCATAGCTAATGCTGATCCCATTGCATAATATAATCCACAATGATTAGGGATTCCAAATTTCTGAAAATTTAACATAACTAATAAAAACAAGAAAATTGTATTTATTTATAGAATTACTTGGCTATCATTTAGTATTTATAATAATCTATATTATATACAAATGAAATTTATAAATTCAGTAGACTTTCTGCTTTTATTATAAAATATTAGTATTATATTTTTTATAAATCTGTAGTAATCAACAACATTAAATACACTATTAATTTTACTGAGAATAATATAAGAAAAAGTACATTAAAGTACAATAAAACATTAAGATGAATTAAGAATTAAATAGACAAATATTTTCACAAGATGATAAACTATAAACTATATTTTGTTGATTTAATTACTAAAAAAAAAAAAAATACTCAAATTATCAAAGGCCTTTGAATGATGTAAAATAATCTTATGAAATTTATATAAGTATAAATGTATTTTCAAAATTAGTAGATAGTACAAAATCATTAGGTATATTTTAAATTATAGGTTGATAATATACTGAACAACAGATAATTACTCACTTTATCATATACTATAGTACATTCTCGTTTATAAGTAATTAATATGAAAAGAAGTCCAAAAAATATATATCCTATATTGGAAAATATATGATTAAAATCACTAAACTTCCATGGACCCAATTTGAGACTGTGTGAACATAGAAAGTTATAATAACATAAATCTTGATTTCCAGTTTCATTCAACACCTACAAATATAATAATTAAATTAGTTAATCTATTTTAAGTAATTTTTAATGAAGCAAAATATGATTTACCTTTTGAGAAGTAAATACTAATTGAATAACAGGTAATGAGTAAAAAACAGCTACTGTAATTAAATTCCATAGATATAATCTTGATTTGGCTTTTAAAATTCTATGATCTTTTTTTGACAAATCACTGACATTTAAACATGCTTTTGTCCTGAAAAATATTAACAATAAAGAAGATGCAATTTTTGTTAACATTTTTGTCAATACATACACTATTACCATTGATAAACCATTTAATCAATGCTACGAAAATATAAAATATATGTATACAATTTTAACCTACAGTTGAAAGAAATAGGATATTTGTTTAAGTAGAAATTAATTAGACAAATGTTATGGAAAAATAATATAAAATCATTCACCATAACTGGATAACATTATAACCATATCAACAACAATTTCTATTAACATTCTTACTTTTAAATTTAAGTTTTTATATAATTACTAATGAATTAACTATGCATGAATAGATATTTATCACTTCTAATATATGCTCTAAGCCCTTGTATATAATTCATAACATAAGAGTATAATTAATTTGTGCTATAATTTTATAATAAAATTACCTGATTAAATCTTTCCAAGGTTCGGGTGATTTCAATATATCAACGTCAGTCTCGTCCAAAGATGAATCATAACTTATATTATCAGGTTCTTCTACAAAATATTAAAATAATAAAATAATTTAAGTAATCCAATAACAGTCATAGATGAAAACATGATGGATAATTAAAATGTAATTGATTTGGTAAAGAATAATATTATAAATGTTACGCCGAATTTATGAAATTGCTGATTTCATGAAAGCAGCAACGTTGTCGCCGAATACGTGTATTCGATAATTTTACTACCAAATTAACGAAATCGGCAAATTTTGATTTCTGATTTCGTGAATTAGGCAGTCTTTTTCTGCTGATTCCACGAATTCAGTAACTCATTATTATGATATAATTACAAATAGTGGCTTATGGAAGTAATTTAAAATTTATTCCCTCTTTAAAAAGTTGGTGACAATAGCACATTGTGTTTTCAGTCAAACCAACATGGTATCAATCCCGTCTGTGGATCGAAAGCGAGGTGATGCAGTCAACCTTCTTGCAGTTATCATAGAAGAAAAATATGGCAAATTTCATATAGGGACTAAAGAAGGGATTTTAAGCACATGGCTGGAGCGGAACGGTTTTGCAGCTACAAAGTACAGTTCCCTAACGACTGCAGACGTTCAACAAAATGAATATTTATTACGGGAACTTGTTAGATTGGGGTCATTTGAGACTGGACAAGGCTATTGATTGGCTATATATTAACGTACTTGTCGTACGATTGCACATCTAAAAGTGCACATGTAAAAAAAATAATATGATGTGTAACTCAGGCCATACTTGCCAAAATATTTAAAGAAAATACAATTTTTTTTTATTTACTTTTTAACACATTAAAATGTACTTATTATTTTATTATATTTCCGATGTTTTACACATTTATTTAAATTAAATTATGCTTTATAATTTTTTTAGAAGGGCCTTGCCAATTTCATGCAATCGATAGTATTATGTAGTTTGAGTTGCCGATTTCACGTATTCGGCGACAATGTTGCTGATTTCATGAAATCGGCAATTTCATAAATTCATAATAATATAAATGTAATTAAAGAATGACAAAATAAAATAAATGTTTTTTTTAATTTTTTTATTCGTAAAATTTCACCATTAATTTGTTATTATGTAAGATTTTGATACTTATCTAGACATTTACTTAAATTTAAATAAATAATAATACATTTAAATATATATATATATTAAGTTATATTAGTTATTAAGAATATTTATATTAAATTGGAGTTTGTGTAATTTATTTATTTATTTTTTTATTAATTATAAATCCATTAATAATAATATATTTATTAATATGTATAAAGACACTAATACACAATAAACTTAAAATTAAAAAATTAAAATTTTTTTTTACTGTACTGCCTAAGATTTTACTATAAAATAATTGTAAAACTACTTTTGTAAAAAATATAAATTGTAATATTTTGAGCTAATATAATTATATTTTTATACTTAAAGTTTAATTTATGTTATAATTATATTTATATAATTATATTATACTCTATTATTAACAAAGGACCTACTTATAATTCTAAAAGCTAGAGTTTTATACGTACTATTAACAGGTGTTGAACAAATACTAGTTGATGGTTCTTCCTGTATTGTATATAGTAGCTTCAAATCATTTCTATAAAATTAAAAATAAGTATATAAATAATACAAAAAAATTAAATGAATTTTAAGTACCATACTAACATTTTTGGATGATAAAAAAGGGTAGTAAAGACCATAATTAAAATTAAAATTGAAATAACTATTAAGCAATTGATAATTTGGAAATTAAAATCAACAGTTGGCTTAATGACAAAACTAACATTTTTTGATTTATAACTTATTGATTGAATATGACGATTTCCTTGATAACATGCTGAATTATCAGTATGTACTACAAAAACTATAAATAATCCAAGTGGGTATTCGTCTTTCTAGAAAATACAAAAAATAATGTTAATAAAATTTGATTACTATAAATTTAATGTTAACATTATTATAACTTTTAGGTAAAACAATTTAAGCATAATAACCTGAATTATGTTTTTTACTACTACAATTATCTATAAAATAATCATGAATCATAGGTAATTAATAATTACTAATGAATGATTCATTCTATGTTTGCATCATAAAGCCTTTTTTTTTAAAAAAAAAAAATCCTGAATCTTAATCATGATTATTCTTTATGAGCAGATTAAAGAAAACTAAATTGTTTTATAAAATTTTTCATTTTCCATTTTCCATTTTGTCCCCGAATTTTTTGGCTGACAATAGGCACAGAATTTCATTATTAATAATAATAATAAAATTATATAATTATATGGTGTTCTCTTTTCATAAGAAACAATAAAATTAATTTAAAAATGTTCTTAATGTTATTATATAAGAAACATACCGATACAATAATACCACCAGTTTTACTGACAGTTTGCCGCAATCCATCATATTGAACTGTTTCTAAAGAATCAAAAACTGGACACTAAAACAATTTTGTTATTATATTATAAAAATGCAAAGAAAGTAAGAGTATATAGGAATTTGAAACTACATTAATATCTTATGAGGACAAATGACTTTCTACTTGATAAAACGTTTGTTCTTATATTGCTTAGTCATGTTGTAAAAGGAGATATATAGTTTAGGAAAAATAATTATTCAAGATAAAAGAAACAATTATTACATTTTCCTCAATTTACAAATTATGTCAGTAGCAGAAATCTCGCGAAATACAGAAAACCAAGATTTTAAAATCCATTCTCTACCATAAATGATTAAGGGTCAAGAACTCATGATATTTAAAATCAAATAATAAAGAAGCTTTTAAAATGATAATTTTTTTATACTTACAGATGAATTTTGTATAGACAATGTCATACAGGTATCGTCACTTGAAGTAACATGAAGTAATACCATAGAAGCATTTTGTTTAAAACTATAATAATAATAAACTGGTTCTGATGGTGATAAATTAAAAGATACTTGTTCGTTTAACCTTAAAATACAATTTATTAAATCAGTCAAATGCTTTATGTTTATGCTAAAATAATAAGTAATTCAGTAATACTTACAATACATTAAATGATTGCTGAACATCTACAAGTATCAAGAATGTTATATTTCTTAAACTATTAGTTGATAAACTTACAACAATTTCACTTTGATTGTTGGAAGCACTTAAAGATGGACATAATATATGAGCTGCTTTATAAAAGCTAAACAAAAGAGTGTTATTTATTAAATTGTTATTAAGTAATCAAAGTTATAAATAAAACTTAAATTCTAAGTTGTTGTTACTAAATAGAATTAAAAAGCAATTATAAATACTTATGAATCTTTTTAATTAACAAACAAAAAAATTGGTATGTAGTAGAAGCATTATAAATAGTAATTAAATTTATATATTAATTAATGGTTAATTTTCTACACTAATAGAAATGCATACCTTATTTCTTGTTGTCTTTCTATATATGGAAGTTGCCAAGATATCACACCAGAACGGTGTCTTACTACAACAATTAGAGGATCTACAATGCTGTTATTTACTGATTCTTTTAATGTAACTTTTATTCTAGGAGGTTTCAATATAGAATCCTAATAAAAAATACACACATCAACAACATGAAGAACAAAACTACTGAAAATAAATTTACAGGTAAATAATCATAAAGAAATAAATATGAAATGTTGCTGTTGATACTACGCTCATATTCGTGTGTGTATTTTAATTTTTCTACAATTGGTTTAAGATCCGATCTGTAGTTTGTGAATTCTTCTTTGGCCAAACTTGTCCACACGGGCAATGAAAAGCCAAAAACTACCATGAAGAACACGGCTTTCGACATTTCATTGAAATTCAAACTAGCTTTGACATGAACTGTTAAAAAAATTATAATACTGCAATTGAAATGTAATGTACTTTGTCAAAAACTGAAACCTCGTAAAAGATAAAAATGCGTATTTGAAAACGAAAAAATATGAGGTAGATTTGCAGTTAGACTCCGTTTTCTTTCACTGTAGCACAATGGAAATCATTAATTACAATAATATTTACTTTTATAATTTTTGCTATCATTGAAAATGTTAACAACTACAATTGATAAGAGATAATAATCATGGTTATTTACAGTCGCGATCACGAGGAGCATTTAAACATAGGAATGCACCTTAAGCATTCTGCGCATGCGTGTAATTTATTCACCACTATCATAATGTTAGGCTGTTACATAACGAGCGGATCAAATCCACCCTTATCCATGCACATTATTATCAATTCTCCGTTATCACTACAACATATAACATTTTTCGGTTGGTGCTCTTATCATTTTACTATATATATTATCTATATTATGTGTATTATGTATTTGAAGAAATTAATAAAGGCAAGTAAAACTATGGGTCTAGCAGTAAATACGGAAAAGACAAAATATGTGGTAGTAACAAGAGGATCAGAAGATAGCTCCAAACTTAAAGTAAAAAATAATGAATTCGAACAAGTTGAAGAATTTAAGTACCTAAGAGTAATTCTTAACAACAAAAATATTATGCATGAAGAAGTAAAAGTGAGACTGAATGCAGCAAATCGATGCTATTTCGCAATGGAGATCATCTTTAAATCAAAAACGCTATCAAAAAAAGTCAAAGAAAAACTTTATATAAGCTACATAAGACCAGTACTGACTTATGCATGTGCCACATGGTCCATAACCAAAGGTGACGAAAAGAAACTAAGAAGATTCGAAAGTAAAATCCTAAGAATATATGGTCCAGTATTTAATATCGAAACACAACAATGGGAACTAAGATCGAATGCCCAATTAGAACATTCATACAAAAAGGAAAATATTGTGCAATTTATTAAAAGTATAAAAATGCAATGGGCCGGACATGCATGGCGAGCAGACGGATGCCTAATAAAAGGAGTAATGACTTGGACATTAGCGGGGAGGAGACCAAGGGGAAGACCACGAAGAAGATGGATAGACAGTATAAATGAGATATGGAATGCGGCAGCTCATGGTGGGGCGGATTGGCGAGTAATAGCGTATGATAGAGAGAAATGGGAGGAGGTAGTTTTGGCGGTAAAGATTCTCCATGGATCGTAAAGCCGGAAAAAAAAAATGCGTATTATGTATAAAAAATAATTATTGTTGTGTGATATAACCACAGATTATATGAATAATATATAATATTATAGACATTATAATGTATTATTATAAAATGTTGTATATAATATATATCTTTATTATACGGTGGTGGTGGCATTAGTGATGAACAACTTCCTTGATTAGTTATAAGTGGATACAAGTTAACTACCTTTTTGTATCTAATTAATTCTAATGACAAAAATAACAAGATTTAGATAGGTACTTTGAAATATATTCGATTTATGTTTATTTTTTCAAGAAAATACTGATATCTACTACTAAATATTTGTTTGTATGAGAGGTTCACGAAAAAAGTGTACAATGTAAAAACACATTTCAATTACTACTTGGGCTTGAAAGTCAATGTCCCGAAAAATACGTATTAATTATTCAAATGCCTAAATAAATAATACTTTTTCTAATTAATTTTAATGTATTTATAAGTAAATCAAATTTTGATATCAAATAATAAATCAAATGATCAAATTAATAGTATAATTCTATTTTTATGAAAGAGTTAGTTAATATTTATTTTTGTTACAAAAATGGCAACAGTTTTCACCATTTTGTTTTGTTTTTTTATCCATATTGCACAATAAAAAGTTAATAATTATATAAAATAGTACTAAACGGTAACACAACAATAATAATTATTTTTTGTACATAATACGGATAATATAGTAAAATTATTAGAGCATCAACCGAAAAATGTTATCTAGTGATAACGGAGATTTATAATAATGTGCATGGATCAGGGTGGTTTTGATCCGCTCGTGTTACATAGAGTTACTCTATGGGCTGTTATCAATAATCATATCAAATTACTATAATACGATAATAATATTATAATAATAATATGAGTTATTATGAATCAAACTATTCAAAATTTGACTATGTACTTCTTATGTAAATAATATATTGTCATTTTATTTTAGTTGTTAAATAATAATGTTCAGTTTCGTTAAATTTTTTTTGTAGTAGTATATTATTGAGATGTTTAGTTTCAACTCTAGTGTAATGTACTATGTATACATTATATTCTTTCATACGTATTTTATAGTTACTACGTAATTACAATTTACAATTATAACCATAAACAAATTAATAGAAGTAATATGAACCACGTGTGAATCGTAAAATCTCGAATAGGAAAAAGTTGCAAAACAGCATTAGTAACCAAACGTATCCAGCCATTCAGTATATACGCTCCACTTATATTTGTTACTATCATTTACTTTGTCTATGTTGATGTTAAATTAAAAAGTGTTAAATAAAATATCAGAAATACCGTAATAAGTATTCTTAATAAAGTTATCGAACTCTAAAATCCTAACATCCTAATATTGTGAAACCGTGTCGAACTCACAACTCGGCACACTACACTAATTGGTTTTAATAATTCATACTTGTACTTACTATTAAGATAATGTCATTTATATAGATATTAGATAATATTGAATTTTTATGTTTAAGATTTTTGTGAATTGTATTGTTAATACTTAATAAAACATTTAGTAAAGAGCCTTTGTGTCATAAATTTTGATAAAGTTTGGTTTATGAAAAGTTCAAATAGGTAATTGGGTAAATGTAGATATAAATAAAAATTATTAAAAGCCATCTCAACATATTAGATAGTTATTGCTGTTTTGATATTTTTTTTCAAATGTATCTGGTATGTATAATGATTTATTTACTGAAATGGTCGAAGCGCAAAAAATGTGTAAAATACGTAAGTAGTATGTTCAAATTTTGAATAGTTTGATTCAAAACTCATATGATTATAATAATATTATTATCGTATAGCGATTTGATATAATATATTGATAACAGCCTGACATGATTGTGGTGAGTAAATTACGCGCATGTGCAGAATGCATATGGTGCATTCCTGTGTTTAGACGCTCCTCCTCGATCACGGTCTTGTCTTCAAATACCGTGGCCGTGATATTGACTTTTGTATCTTATCACAGTGTTACAATTTTTTTTTTTTTTTAAGTAAAAAATATTTTTCAGGTGAAAATATCGTTACGAATTACAGGCATAGGTAATATATTATTATGTATATATTTTTATTTTATATAAATTAATATAGATATATTACGTCTGTGTTACGAACCCACAGATTTCTGTGTATGAACCACAGTTGAAGATATCATGCTACGGAAATTGGCGGTTATAGGATTTCGTTTTAGGGAAAGGGTGGCGAGGTTTTTCAAACAATTTTAAATAATTACATTCGCCCACAATACTGCTAAATTTTTTTACACATCTCTAGGCACCTATGTTGATGACACAATAATTATGGCCTCAAATAAAAATCCTCAAACCGTCACCGATATGTTACAAAACCATCTTCACACGATACAACTCTGGTCTCAACGCTGGAAGGTAAAATTAAGTGAATCAAAATGATCATTTATAGTATTCTCACTAAGACCACAAGACTGCCCCTCAGTCTCACTAAATAATAATATTATCCCAACAACCTCGGCAATAAAGTATCTGGGCCTGACGCTCGATAGACGCCTTACATGGTCTCAACATTTTAAAAATAAAAGAAAGACAGTAAAATCCAGACTACATCTACTACGCCATCTCCTACGATCCAAACTAACTACCAGCAACAAACTTTTAATTTGTAAAGCCATCATCAGACCAGTGTAGTATTATGGTATCCAATTATGGGGCTTCGCCAAACCTTCCAAGCTATTCAAGCTTTTCAATCAATATGTCTCCGCCAAATTGTCTCTGTCCCCTGGTATATCAAAAACACTAACCTACACAACAACCTTAAAATTCCAACTCTGTCCCAACTAACCAAATCACACTTCCGTTTATTCCATTCTAAACTAACTCAAAATAAAAATCCGCTAATCAATCGTCTTTCCTCCTTTGAAAATCCTGTTAACCCTTTAAGAAGACTAAATCGGACCTGGCCTAGAGATCTATTAAAATAATCCGTCGGGTGGCACTACTGAGTGCCCTCCTATTCTGTTAATTCTTGTTATTGTAAAACATGTATTATAAAAATTACTTAATGTACAAATTGAAATAGATTGTAATTATTCTTTTAACAAATAATCACATATGACTTATTTGTGGTGGGACTCAACTTGGCTATCTCAAAAGGTACTATTGGACGCAAATAGGTTATGACTTTTTTTGAACCTTTTTCGGTGGGATGTAAATTATCTACTGATAATAATCTTGGACGCAAGTAGTATGTACCTAAAATTTTGTCTAACCTAACCTAACCTAACCCGGTCCATACAAATTGGAAATGGATGATATTTTAAAGAGGGGAGTTTTTTTTTGAATGTCGTTTGCTAAGTAGTAAGAAAAAGAGGAAGCATTTTAAAAATATTCCTTATCTGAACATTTTGGTTAAGCAAGATTACAACATCTACGACAACTACTCTTTGTAACGGGACATTCATTACTTTAGCTCAGGTGCATCATGTTAATTCGTAGTACGAGTATACTCGTACTACATATATGTAATTTTTGTAACAGGCTAAAATTTATAAGTGATCAACAAGTATCTTATACACTTATAAATCGTTATGTATTCTATATATTTACGAATTAAAATTAATATCGTTTTCATTAAAATGATTATACTGTCGCAAGCATTATCTTATGACGTTGAGCAGCATTCTCTCATTCACCTCATGTTTTCCGTCTTATTTTGTTAATATTTACATCTAAGATTAAGTACTATGAGATTTCCTATCAAACCGATCACAATGACAATGACAGTATTGAGTAAATATGTTTATTGATAAATATTTTTATATTAGACACAACAAATATTGATTCAATTAAATTAAATTAAAGATAAGATTTCTGTACAATAATTAAAGTATATTTATGTACAAATAATAATATAAACCTAATATTATCAAATTGTTTTAATAATTAACAAATAAGTACAAAATAAATACTAAACATTAACTTTTTTTGAGTTATTTTCTTAACAAAAACAAATGTTAAATTTTATCTTAAACACATTTTAATATTTTATAGGTAACTTAAAATGTTTTCAATAATAAAACACAATCGTAAACATTTATTTTTTAGGTTGTCACTTGAAAATTAAAACTAGTCTTTTAAACATTCAGACATATTTAAAAATGACATAGTATATTAGCAAACCGAATATCATGATAAGCTGATAAGGTAACTGTGGATTACAAAATTACTATTGCTTAAAATAAATAACTGGTAAAGACATATGATAATTTGGCTGTATGGATTTAGGTTAAAAAAAAAAAAAAAATAATATAATAGATAGAAAACATAACATTTTTTATCACATTGATGTTGGTACAGAGACACAGGAAGTATTGCCATTTGTCATATATTTATGTTTCACCCGGAATACGTATATATTGATCATTATTATTTATGGCTATTCTCACAATTATATAAATTGATTAAAATAGTATTATTTTTGTTTTTTCGGTGTGACAATCCTGTATGTCTTTGTATTTCTAATTACTAATTTAATCTTATAAATATTGTGTACAGGTGTAAATCAGATATTAATGTTACAATATCAATAAATTGATAACGGTTAAAAAATTAATTTCTTTACAAATTATTGGTATTTAATTTATATTAATTGTTCGAGTTCTGTACAAAATGATGTATAATTTTCTGAGTCACTTATTCATCAATATAGGTCCGTTTGAATCAATTCCATGTTTTAATAATTCTGGAAAATTAAACATCACGGAACGTAAAACGTACACGGACTGCAGCTTTAAGTGACTTCAAAAATTATCGATCTATCTTAAAATAAAAATTCTTTTTTTTTTTTAACAGGGTTTATTAGGTAAATAATAATTGATATTAGAATGTGAATCGTTTTCAAACTATTTTATAATTAATCGTTTATGTGATATGTAAATTGGTATGGTTAAAATTCTAATTATAATAGAATTTCAAAAATATTTAAAGCACATTGATGGCAATTTTTAAAACTCTTTCTAGAAAGAAAATTAAAATAAATGCCCGTGAAATAACATGTTATTATGTTATTCATTCGGTACGTTACCCGTTATTGCTTTCCAAGTATTTATAATCATTAAATAGACAGGTGGATTACTTTTATTTATTCTATAATTTTTTAAGTTATATACAATATCACGTTTGTGTTAACATTTTAATTTTCTTTTGATTCGTTGGATTATTTTTAATCGATTTCTAATTAATTCATTGTTTTTGTGTACACTATATATTTGAAAAAAAATGATATTTATTTTATATTATATATAATATATATTTATTATATAAATATTATATATATATATATTGATTGAACAAAAATTATTATTTTTTTATTATTTTTTAATATAAATGTTATTTATGTTGGGAAAATTATAATCTAGCTATTTCTTATTTCAAATCTCAAATTTATTTTCTCATATTATTATTATCTTCTGCTGAGAGGGGAAATAAATGTTCGTCATTATTTTTTTTTCTTATATAAACAAACAAATATTTTAATATCTAGACCATTCCAAGGAAAAAAGTGAAATTATATAATCTTATATTATAATTTAATTTTATTCATATTTCCAATGTAAAGCATGGGCATCCCCAGACATTTTTCTAGGGGGGGGGGCAAAATTAATTTAAAAAATAAATGAAATTTTTTTTATACATTTTATTTATAGTAAATTATTATACTTCGTCATTATTAAAATTATGAATTAAAACATTGCAATTAGGTAGGTATTATTATTACAATTAAAACATTAAAAAATATTTCTGTGGAAATAACATTATTTCAGGGGGGGGGGCAAGTGCTCCGTCTTGCCCCCCCTGGGGACGCCCATGATATAAAGCAATCTGAGATAGAACCAAATATACGGATAGATGTTCTACTAAACCGGGTTAATTCCATATACTTTTAGTATATGCCACGGTCCTTTTAGAACATTTTGTGTTCGATTTGCAATAATATTTCAGTTTTAAAGTTGAAATATAAAATATGTCTGAATGATATATTTTTTTTAAAGGTTTAAGTAATAATCTTGCAAGAGTGTGAGCTCATGAGATGTGACGTGTGTTTTGACATCAGGTTTGCCCACATACCATTGAGTTATAATAGCCACGGTTTTAGTAGTATTTGTTCTACTATTAATCAAGGTAGTGCTCATGGTAGATGTGGATGAGGATGTTTAATATCCACATGATTTTATTCATATCTAGTGTGTGGATATAAATACGAAGATTTGAGAAAAATCCTTGCACAATGAATTAAATAAAAATATATTAATTAAAATTAATAAAATAGACGATTTAATGAATTTAGTTTTGTTGTGCTTATTATATTTAATATCTCTAACTCAATAATGTAAATAAATTGTTGAAGACCATAAGTATAGGTTAGTCGATATTTGAATATCGTCTTCCCATCCTTCTATTCGTATTTTAAACTACCACTAACGACAATTACTTATTATACTTTCAAAGCACTAGTGATGTATTTAGTTATTTATATATGGACTCAACGGACTCTTTGTGTTAACGGACTGACGTTACATGTAATTGACGAAAAGTTCCGAGTCCGAAACGTCGTTATTCGTTGATGTGGATGCAAAAGCATGTTTGACCACTATATAGGTTGTTCGTGCGGTCGTTTGAGAAAAATTATATTATATTAAGAAAAATAGAACATAATAAAACATAGACATACATAGACATACACAGACACACTCACACACACACACACACAAACACACACACATATATACATATTATCATATTTTTAATAAATTTGCGCACAGTTAGTGGGTAGGAAAATTGATAGACGAGAAAATACAGCATGAGCGTGCACGTGTTCAATGTGTGTTTTGTTTTACCATTATTTGTCCGGTAACGATAGTTAAAACGGAGGTGAATGCGTAATTTCAGTTACATACTTTGGTATATTAACATATCTGATGCGGAAGAAATAAAATAACGCATTGCGGGAAAAGTGCGTGTCTAGAGTTCAACTTTGGGAAGGGGTTTGTGATAAATATATTTAAAAAAAATAATTATATACTTTGTTATCATTTTTTATAATGATTTACTAATAAAAATAATTTTTGTTTTTTCCATTAGTTTTTAGCGTTTATATATATCCACTTTATAGTGATCAACGGGACATATTGACATAAATATTGAGTCTATAAATACGATGAAATTTATAGACGGCATTAGGTGATGTTATCAAAGATAGAAGGTATTTGTTTATTTTTTAACCATTCCGACTTTTCGGACCATGGTGGTTAGGAGGGGAGGGAGGATCCTATTGTTTAATTCTGATAAAATGTTTTCCGTTGTGATAACACTCAAAACGGAAACAGTTATCGCACATTTTTGAGCGTATTACTGCAAAAAGTGCATGCGTTTTTACAATCGAGATTAAATTTCTTATTTTTATTTATTCGCAGATCTTCCAATTTTGCAATATATTGTTTTTAAACATAAATACATAATAGTATTATAAATAAATATTTCTCAACATATGCACACATAATATGTATTGTATTTATATGTGCATGTATGTATTAAATGTACATTTTGAATTGATAAGTGTTTCCAATACTACAGGTCTCTGGCAGTGAAGATGAGCAAAAACGGTACGATCATAGCGCTTACAATTGGAGGGCATAACGGAATGCTGCCTTGGCCATGGTGCATTGCGGCCGGGTGTTCACCTGAAAATGTATAATGAGGAAAAATTAATACGTAACGGCATAGTGACGTCATCTTGATAAAACGGTCTGAATAAAGTCAGGTGAGTTCATGCATACTCTTTTAATGTATTTGTCAGAAAATAAGGTAATTACTAAAGTCCTCTTATCTTTGTCTTTTTGAATCATGAAATTAGTTCCTGATTTTAAGGAATTATCTAAGATTGTGATAATGCAACCTTGATTTTTTTTTTAATAATTTGAATATATATTTATTCAGTTATTAATGAAAATTCTTAATGCAGTATTGAAGCAAAAAACAAAAACTATATATATGTTTTTGACCCATTATAACTAATAAGACTAATATGGACAAAATATACTACCTTAGATTTTAATTTTAATTTAGTGCTTATATCAGGTACTTCATAATGTCACCAATTTTATGAATACGATTTTGATTTTTAGTGGATTTTAAAAAAAGTCAGTTTTAATCAAGAAAAAAGAAAATGTAGTCATTAAATTTATTTAAATATATTTACAAAATAGTTTATAAGTGAACTACATTATTATTGTTTTTATTATTATAATTAATATAATAATTGAATCGAAAAAATTGAAAACTGAAATGTAATTATAGATGTTGAACTTTATTCATTCGTCATTCAAAAATATGAGCTGTAGTAAAAGATACACGCATATCAAATGTTGGTTTATCGGGTTTCAGATAGATCTAGATTAGTTATTTTTTGATATTAAAAAAAAAAAATCTACAAATATTATAATATATTGTTATACGTAAAAGATGATTTCAATTAGTTTTGTATCCAATCACGTAATAAGCCATTTCATAATAAATTAAAAAAAAAATAATATACGATTCTTAAGTAATGTCATTATAATCGTATGCTTGTAATTGTACTTATTTAATTACATATTTGTAAAAATCTACCAGAGTGCATCTGATCGCGTTATAAATACTACTACAACGGCTAGTAACATCGATAGTCTTGTTTGCGCTGAGTGGTCATATATTTTTTTTCTTAGATATTGCCTACCCTCTCCCAGCCCCTTCCATCAAAAATCAAGGGCACTCATGTCTGATGAAAAATGACGGGATTTACCGGTTCAACGTGTGGCACTTGCGGGTTCTCATATTTTATAGATGTTAAGAATATATATATATATATATTATTATTATTATTGTTTTCGTTCTAATAATAATAATAATAGTGTGCTAGCACTGGAACAATAGCGGCTGTGTTCTCGTTACAATAATAATACATTATTATCAAAACCGGCGGTGGCGGAGCTCTGAAAACGTGCGATCCATTCTTCGGAGTTTGGCAATATTTCAGTGCGTTGTGTTATATAATATATTCACACCGCTCTGCAACCAATTGTGATTAATAACGACAGACTTCGGTACAATGGGATTGAACCGCTCGGGATTAATATCATTATTGTTACGATTATTATCTTAACCACGATATGCGTACCGATGTACGTATTATGGATTATTAGATACGACCGGAATCGGGGGTTGTTTAAAACGATATTTCCGAGGAAGTAAGTACATTTTTATCGTTGTCGTTATTATGTTCATACACTCGAACAGGCTGAGATTAAAATGCGTTCGGCACCTTCTCCGACGTGATCCAGAGACCTGCATGTGGTTCACGCGAGTACGAAAATATTAGTGAATATCGACAGTAAATAGTCTTTCATATGGTAGTTATTCTGCCAAAATATACCATATTTTGGCAAAATAAGGGTGGTCCCAGACTAAGATAATAGTGGAATGGAGGAAGGGGGAGATTCTAAAAAGTTCTGAATTCTAATTTTCTATTTTAAGAGTGGTTTAATGAATCCCCGATCTGAAGCCACTCCAGACTTATAGAAAACGCAGAAAAAGAAAAACATTGGGTTCTCGATCTAATCAAGGCAAATAGCTTGTGCATAGCGAAAAGATTCGTTATTTAATAATTGATTACGTCGTACAACACATAATAATAAAAATAATCAAAATAGCCGTATTATATAGTTGTTATTATTTGTTAATATCACAGTTTTTTGTCGCTTGAAATCGTGTAATTAAACACACTTTGTATTAAATGGAACATTTGTTATTTTAGTTGAAATTTGTGTCTCTCACCAAGACGTACTTAATATCATATACATCGTGGTCTATACACCAACGTCTGTTAACAATATTAAAGGAGTGACTCGTTTGATTTTTAAACTTTTGATTACCTTTGGTTTGTTTACGCAATGTATCCAATAATATTTAGTTTTTAATATTACAAAATTTTTACTATGAGAAAACATAAAATACTACCAAAAAAGAATAAAAATGTGTAATAATAGGAGAGAACACCAATAAAACGGACAGTCGAATGTTTTTAAGTATAATTTAAGGCCACCGACCGTTTAATATATGAACTCTGACGGTGGCCGAATTTGCATTTGACGGATCGCAAGAGTAGTAGCCGGTATCCGAAGACGACGCCTTTTGAATTAATAATCTGCTGCTGGTGGTCGACCCTTTTTCCGTTACTAGGCTGATTCCGCCTCGTGGAGAATCGAAATTTATGGGCTGTGAACCGCACATACGTACATAAAAAAAAAAAAAAAACATGTAGCAAAATGTATCATTTCGAAAACCTAATTCGATAAATGACTATTCTTCTTAGTCAATATTGTTTCACTTACTTGTTTTTCGTGCGTCCATCCAACGGTCGGTGGTGGTTCGGGGGCAAATTGTATCAAGCAGGTGAGGTTTATCGTGCTACCCTGATCGATGAACAGCTCCGGACCACCAAGTATTTCGGTAGTAGGCTCTGAAAAAGAAAATAATATAATAATATTATTACAAAAAAAAAAGTTTATGTGATACGCAATACGCTTGTAAAGATCAGTGATCATATAGAGTTTGATTTGAATTGATAATCATAGATATTTTGAATAATTCTCAGATTTTATTTTATTGAGTGTCTAATTCGATTTATGTTTTATGAGGTCTGAAATTAAAATTTAAAATATTCGTCTCAACTAGTTAACCTTTTTTCTTTTTTTTTTTTGACAGTGAAGTTATATTCAACACGAAAACTTCACAGGCATAGTGAGGGATTTTTTGAGTACGAACATTATACACGTAATAATAAAATGTAATTAAAAAAAAATAAAAATGTTTTAATCCCTGTGGGAGTAATAATATGAAAAAAAAATTGAAATACTCATATGCACAGCTTCGTCGTCAGCCGGTATATTCTATTAAAAAACTGTCACCCTCGATCTAGAATTCTAAAACGTTATCTGTATAAACATTCGTTGGAAATAGGGAACCTTATGTACATGTATAGTTCCGTAAACGGATACACATATATACATATATTTCGCCTTAGTAATTGTCACCGTGTGTACCTGGATAGAATATGATATCGGTTTTTTTCCCATTTTGCTTTTCTTTATTTTTACCGCGTATGTGAGTATTTTAGACATACGTTTTGGGCAAGCACGATATTTATATTTTTCCTCGTTTTTTTCCTTATACTTGTAAAACAACGCTGTGGCGTGTAATTATACTAAACATAGTTTAACTGTAATTATATTCAATACGGATGGCTGTAATACGAAAATAATTTTTATTTTCAAGTTAATGAGACGAAACCATATATAAGAATTGAGTATTTTATTTTACGGTGTTTTGACTTGGTTTCCAATAGGGAACATGAATAATTTAACTACAAAAACTGGGTGGATTTTAATTTTTTTTTTTTATATTTTTTTTCTTGTATCTATGTATAAGATTATTTTGACTACAAAGAGTGCTTTGTTCATCATAAAATTAAATTTCAAACATAGGAAATAGGTTCAATATTTGAATTTCCAACTGATGCTTGAAGTAGTTCATATTTTTAATTTCTCAACAGTTTACCAAATAATTGTGAAAAACGGAGAAAAAATTGTAAAAATTTAAAATTTCAACCAAGATTTGAATTCTCATCTCTTATAATCACAAATAATTTTATCACTCACTATTTATTTTTGAGTCTGTGTACACAATTTTGACCAGAAAGGATGCTCCGATTATTAGTCATAAAAAAAATCTGATAGGAAGTATTAATTTGTTGATATATTTATCAGGATTATCTTACAAATTCCCTAGTAGTTATCTTAATAATTATGAAAAACTGACGAAAAGATATAATATAAACTTAAAAATTTACGGCGTATCGGTATTTATGACAAAATCGAATTTCAAAATAATAATTGTATAGATATGAAATTATCATTAAATGCTTATATCATTTCATATCAATTTGCTACACATTGTATTATTTAAAAAATATTTTTTTAAATCAAAATATTAAATATAATTACGAGTAAGTAGTTTAAATTAATCTAATAGAAATCGCATTTTTTATATATAAAATAAATTAAGTTAAAAACTATATTTATTTTTTACTTAATATATCCATAAAAATGGATGGTAAGTAAACATCTACATTCTTAATTCTCATTTCAAGTAAACTTTGAAGGACCATGCATTTTTGAAGATTTTGAATTTCAAGTGGTCTGAAAAATTTTTTTAAAAATTTTTTTAAACATGGAATAAGTAAAAGTGATCCTTTAAAAATAATTATGACCTAATCTATTTACTTATGTTCAATACGGGTTGTTCTCAAAACTTCGCATAGGTCACTTTTTGATTTTGTAGATTTTTCAATCGAAAAATGATGAAGAAGTGGAAGAATTTACGACACAACCAATCTTGACTATTTTTGGTTATTTATGGAAAGACACGACTGAAACCCATTTTCGTTAAGTACTTTGTTTGGATTAAAAAAAAAATAAAAATTAGCAAAAATTTTCAAATCCTCACTGAAAGATATGGAATTTTCCTTTTAATCGATGACGTTGACAAATCGTGCATCGTTTGCTGTACTATGTGCGCAAATTATACAATTTATTTTTAAAGGCGTCTAATTCACATTTAGTTATTAGCTTATTAAGCCGAGGATTGTTCGGGAAAGAAACTTTAGGTATTTTTTAATCGATTGGTCCGTATTTTGGAAATTATAGCGCAGCAGTTGCATTGTAGATTTTCCCGGTGATTACACATTCAGAAACTAGGAACACTATTGAACATAATCTAACTACAGAGGCGAACTACATATCCAAGGTGTACCTAGGATACCTTGGCAAGAGTGAGTGTTTGGTAAAGTTGAATCCCCAAAACTATTCCAATGACCTATCTAATTCAATTTCAATCAGATAAAATCAACAATTTCTTCATTTTGTCATCGGTGTGCGTACAATACCATTAAGATAGTGATTAATTTTTATTTTTATACTTATTCTATATCAGTATGAGTAATGTAATACACGTATTTTGTAAATTTCTCCAGAGATTATTTGTATATATATATATATGAATATAAAAAGACAATGGAACGCTGGGTTCTGGGTTTTAAAATAACGGTGACTAACGATGGAATAGCGAGAAAATTAAAGTAAAATTGCTTTGCTTATCCGTTTCACGGTCCAGATAAAATCGAATACATATAATGCTATTATAATGGTTCTAATGACTTTTGGGACATTATACAAACATGTGCAGATGCAAGCATACCCATATATGCAATGCATCGGAAAGATTCAGCGTTAAAATGATACCTTATTTGTTATTTTTATTATTTTTTGTTCTTGAATTACAACAATATATATAGGGTAATTATAAAAAATTAGCTAAACATTTCTTTTCAAGTTCACCACTTGAACGATTAGTTTAGTCATACGTGTTTTATTTGATGTTTTAAAAAATGGTAATATAATACGTATGTTTTAGTGATGATAAAAAAATAAATAAATATATATATAATAATTTTAGAAAAATTATGTTCCTTGTATATTTTTCGTTTTCATTGTAATTTCTGTAGACTTATAAACTATTAACTCAATTTTACTAAAGTCCTACTGTGATAACATTTTATACTGAATTATAAAACAGTACCAAGATAGATAACGTAATATATAAATATATATTGTGTACTCGTGTAGTATTCATGTTTAACTGTTTATTACGTTTCAGAAATACGGCCATTCGTGCGCTGAGTGTGCGGACAAAAATTCGACGAATGAATTATTTACAATAATATGACATTTTAGGTGTTGAAAGCCGAATCACTGATGCAAATGTGCCAATCGAGTACTTATGGATGGATAACTTGCATTGACAAATCATATACATTAACACTTAATTATTACTGGTATTGTACATTGTATTTATTTATACGAGTACTACGTGTACACGGGTGCACAAGATGTAGTGTCAAGTCTTTTCCCGTGTACCCTCACATTATTCATCATTTTTAAATACTTAATGGGTACACAGATACGCCCCGAAGAGTACACGTATAAAACGTCGCTTAAATGTTAAAATTCTATCCGAAAAGTCGTATATTATTGCGAAAAGCGATATTAGAACAACGACCGGTATAAACGAGTCTGTTTTCTATTATGATTGCTTTATCAGTATATATTTTTGTGTACGTATGGACACTCATAAATAGTTACTAACTTAACCTAACCAGTCAATTTTATAAAATAATCGGCGTATGAAAACTCTCAGCATTCACTCTTTCTTTTCGGAATAATTTCTATCCATCGAGTTTTGGTGTGCATATAATATGGAAAAATGTAGAATTCTTACGATTTCAATTAGTTACAAACATTAAAATTCGTAATTTAGCGAGTCATGTAATATATTTGTACGCATAGATCACAAATATAAATAAATCAAAAAATTAAAAAATTAGTTGAATTGAGTATATTTCGTAAAATATGTTTTTTAATATTGATTTGTGTTTAAAATTATAAATTAAAATTATAAATAAGATTTCGATTATTTAAAATATCGTACAAATGTTATTTATAATAACCAAATAAATGGACGAGAAATAAGAAAATATCATAAAAATCTTCTACCATAAATACATTATAATTAGAAAAGTTTATTTTTGCTTACATTTTTTATTAATTCAAAAGATTTGATTTGGAGTTTTTACCTTTAAATTAAACATACTTTCTTACACTTTCCCTAAACACCATTAAACGACATTAACATATTCAGATTTTTGTTGTCCTTCTGAACGAATATATTCGAAAGGTTTATGTGTCTAGATTCACTTTTAATGGTGCCTTTGTAGAGTGAAGGGATGTTCCAAAATTAAAAAATACAACAGATAAATTTTTGAATTGTATCCGAATGACCTAGGAAGAAATTTGAATAAATAATATGAAATGATTATTTGGGTTCACCATAAAAATATCATGGCTATCACATCTTACTAATACACATTATGGTAAATAATATTATCATTGGCGTTTGTAGATTTTTTTTGCATACATTTTTTTGGTGGTTTTTAACGAATTTAACTCAACAGCTTTATTTTAATGACATGCAACGTGAGTGATCTATGTTTGTTTTTTTGTTTTTTCACTTACATGATTTACATAAGAATTTTATGTGAATATTTTTATTTTTTTCTTGAAATCTTGTTTTGTTCTACCTAATTATTTTTCATAGCTATAAGTGTTTTGATTATGTAACAAAGACATTATTGTACCGATACAATGTGAATGCTTGATACAACGTAACTTATAGACCTTTAACTTATTATTAGGTCAATAATTTAAAATTACAAGATTCGACAATGATAGGAATAAATTATTTTCGTATCTACCGAAATTACTCGTTTTACAGTATCCTATCAGTTTCGAGAGTTGTGTTTTAATTCAAAACGATTATTGCTACTCGATTGATAATTCAGTATTT